ATGATTAGATGGATGGATGGATGGATAAATGGTTGCCTGGATGGATGGGTGGATGGATAGATGGATGGATAGATGGGTGGGTAGTGGGTGGATGGATAGATGGGTGGGTGGATGGATGAATGGGTGGTTGGATGGGTGGGCAGATGGGTGGTTGGATGGGCAAATGGGTAGATGGGCGGATGGGTGAATGGATGAATGGATGTATGGATGGACGGATGGTTGAATAGTGGATGAATCGGTGGGTGGGTAAGTGGATGGATGGATGGGCGCATGGATGGTTGGTTGGGTGGGTGCATGGGTGGCTGGCTGGATGAATGGGACGACTGACAGATTCTCATGCTAAGGCTGGGTTCTTTAGCCTTGGTCCTACTGGTGCACTGGCCCAGATCACTCTCTGTGATGGGCCCATCCTGTTCATTGTAGGATGTTGAACAACATTTCTGGTCTTCATCTGCTGCTCACCAATAGCACCGCATCCCAAAGTGGGACACCCCCAGTGTCTCTGCACTTTGCTGGTTGTCCTCAGGGGAACAAAACTGTCCTTATAGGGGGCCATTGAGGTGGTCAGCTTTAGGCACATGAAGAACAAGGTTTGAGCTTTTATAGTTTCACTCCCACCAGATGCAGCCTCCTCCAAGGTAGAAGGGAAGAGACTAGCACCTGTCATCTGCCAGTCCGTGGGGAAATTCCTTGAGCTCTAGGGGCTGGGTCACTGTCTTTGGGATTTGTATCTATAGTGAGATTCTCAATCAATTTTTGCACATCTGACTGCAAAAGCTCTTAGGTGGAGTGTTTCATCTTTGAATTTTGCACCTGAGAAAGCTGGTAGGAAACTCAGGGTGCACACTTCAGGAATGCTGGTGGGATATTCAAAGCACACAAGCCCCCTGGGTTGCATACCCCCCCCAAAAATAAGAAAAAGCCAAAAACTTTGCCTTTGCGTGTGACATCGGTCATCTCTTCCTTCAAACGTAATTTTGTTGGGGTCCATCTTCCTAAGAAGCCCTGTGATGTAACCACAGAGTTATTGGGACAAGAGGTCCCCATAACCCACTCTAAGAGGAGAATGTCACCACGCAGATGTGCATTTCACCCACAACCCACCCAAGGTCCTGGCTGAGCCCAGACTGCCTCCAGTGGGCTCAGAACTCACCTCATTCCTGTCTGGACAAAAGCTTCTCACGCAACCTCTGTTTATAATCACTCTTCAACGTCTGTCATCCATCACCCCCCGAAAGTGAAACCGGCAAGGTGTCTGTGTGCCAGCCCCCCAGGCCAAAGTCAAAATTCAAAATCTGGGGGCCCTTTTTTGCTTTGACAACAGCTGAGGTGGGGGACGGCTGTAGGAGGAACCGCCCAGGGTGAGCCTCATCTGTCCTTTGCAAACTCAGAGAGGTGGGCGCCCTAAGACAGGTGCCATGCCTCCCCGGGAAGTTCCATGCTGGCCTCTTCTGGAGCCCAGTGTGTTCCCGTCCCTTTCCCAAGTGACATTCATCTGATTTGCTCAGGACCCCCAATATTGACCGGCTGGCGGAGGAGGGCGTGAGACTCACCCAGCACCTGGCGGCCGCCCCGCTCTGCACCCCGAGCAGAGCCGCCTTTCTCACCGGGAGATACGCCCTCCGATCAGGTGGGTGTCGCGGTCACCATGGACAGCAGCTCCGGGCTGCAGCCTGGACCCCATCGCTGCTCTATCTGGGTAGCGATCTCCGTCGCAGAGACTGGTAAAGGGAAGGCCAATGTGCCCTCCTGTCACCTTTCTGCAGTGTGTGCCCTCACCCCTCAGCACCCTCAGCCCCCAGTGGCTGGTAAAACCCACGCACAAAGCCGGGCCCAGTGGCGCACGCCTGTCATCCCAGCGGTTGGGAGGCTGAGGCAGGAGGATCACGAGTTCAAAGCCAGCCTCAGCCAAAAGGAGGCCCTAAGCAACTCAGGGAGACCCTGTCTCTAAATAAAATGCAAAATAGGGCTGCAGACAGGGCTCAGTGGTTCGGTACCCCTGGGTTAATCAAATGGGAGTCACAGATAACCACGCACCTCTTCCTGAGGTCTAAATCGTCCCTAGCTGACCTGGGACACCCAGCACCATGCAGGTTCTGTGGGAATCGTGCTGACACTCAGAGAAAAAAAAAATTACTCAGGGAAAAAACACCCAACACAAATGTCTGCATGTCTGGTGCCGGAGAAAGGTTCTTTTTTCCTTCCGATATTTTCCACGAACTGGCTGTTGTCTCATCAAATTGCCAGGTAGGTGCCCTTGGAAGGCTGTGCGGAGGGAGCCTTCTGGGATGGGTGGACCACCATCGTTGGTGGAGGAGAAACAGGTATCCGGTGATTGACAGGTGATAGACAGTGCTCGGTAGATGATGATGGTGATACCATCAATGGAGGAATACAAACTAAAGATGCTCAACTGATAGCAATCCTGTCAATAGATAATCGAGGAACAGGTGATAGCTAATGATGGGTGACAGAGGAATATAGAGGTGACAGATGCATAAAGCACATACAGGTGACGGATAAATGATGTGTGGATAAGAAGGGGATAGACGCGACGTAATGATACCTGGATGATAGGTAATGATAGATAGATAGATACTGGGTCGGTTCTCATGATAGGCAAGGTGTGTCCAACTTATGCAGCTGACATTGGGGCGGATAGTGCTCTGTGGTGGGGTCATGCTGTGCACGATAGCACATTTAACAACCTCTCTGATCTGCACCCACTCCATACCCAGAGCACCACCTCCCACCTTCCCCGAGTGCTGACAGCCAGATCCTTGCCCACTGTCCCCTGGTGCCAAGAATCCCTTTGCTAAGACCTGTTCCTGGCAAAGGGAACGTGAACCTTGCTCGGCTGTCGGCTCCACAGGAATGGACAACGATGAGTACCGGGTCCTCTACTGGAACGCGGGCTCCGGCGGGCTTCCTGCCAACGAAACCACTTTTGCGAAAATCCTAAAGCAGCAAGGCTATGCCACCGGCCTCGTGGGTATGCGGACGCCTGATTCCCCTCCCACCCAATTGTCGAGGGACCAATTTCCTCCAGAGGGAAGAAAAAACACTTTCATCCTTCTCCGCCTCTCGAGTCGGTACCTGGCCCGGCTCTGGCGCTCTGGGATGGTTTCCAGTTCAGAAGTTCTCCTCTTGGCAGAGGGTCAAGGTTCTTTGATATATTCTTTGTCCTCTTTTCTTCTCTGGACCTGTCTATCTTCTTCAGCCTCAAGGAATCAGAAAGTTCTTCAGAGCCCGGCTCCGACGCCTGTAATTCCAAGAGCTTGGGAGGCTGAGGCAGGAGGACCGCAAGTTGGAGGCCCACTTCAGCAATTTAGCCAGGGCCTGAGCAACTCACCGAGACCCTGTCTCTAAAGAAAACCCACAAAGGGCTGGGGATGGGGCTCGGGGGTCGAGTGGCCCTGAGTTCAATCCCTGGTACCAAAACCAAAAGCAAATCCTGGCTGAGGTCACTCATGGCCTCCGCTGATTCGGGATCTGCTCTTTGGGAGGTTTTCTTTCCCCTGACCGCACCCAAATGGCCCCAGGGATTTTTGTCCCAGGCAATGCATGGCCCTTGGTGTGGCTGACCACCCACCCCCGCCTGCAGGAAAGTGGCACCAGGGCGTGAGCTGCGCATCCCGCGGAGACCACTGCCACCACCCGCTGAGCCACGGCTTCGACTACTTCTACGGCCTGCCCTTCACCCTGATCAACGACTGCGACCCCGACAAGCCCCCCGACCTGTGGGTCAGCGTGGCGGCCCGGTGCAGCCGCTACACCCGCATCCTGGCTCTGGGCGTCCTGACGCTTGCCGCCGCCAAGCTCAGCGGCCTCCTCTCGGTTCCCTGGACAGTGGTCGGGGGCGCGGCCGGCCTCGTCTTCCTCTTCTTCATCACCTGGTTCTCCAGCTGCGGGTTCGTGCGTCGCTGGAACTGCGTGCTCATGCGGAACCACCAGGTCACCGAGCAGCCCATGGATGTGGAGAGCACCACCCGTCGGATGCTGCAGGAAGCCACCGCCTACATCCAAAGGTGGGCACCCTCACGATGCGGGTGGGGGCGAAGGTTCTGAGCCGTGAGCTACTCTGGGGTCCCATAGCAGCAGGTGCATTGGAAAGTTCCAATCTCACACTTCATTCACAAATGAAAGGAAGCTATCCTTCTTCATGGCTGCATAGTATTCCATGGTCTATATGCTGCAGGATTTTTTTTTTTTATGGAGTCACTTTTGCCTATGTCTGTCATCCTAGCAGCTGGGGAGGCTGAGGCAGGAGGATGGCAAGTTGGAGGGTAGCCCCAGCAACTTGGCGGGGCCCTAAGAGACTCAGTGAGACTCTGTAAATAAAATATCCAAAGGACTGGGGATGGGACTCAGTGTGGAAGCACCCCTGGGTTCCATCTCTGGTGCTAAAAAAACAAAAGAAGAAAAAGGAAAGGTCCGACCTCTTCCTATGAATTGGTTTCCACACTCCCGTCTCTGCATTGAGTTACTGGGGTTGTATTGGAAAGTATCGGAGTAGTGGTCATGCAGCGGGGACTCCTTCCAAGGCCTAGGGAATGCCTGAAACCCCGGAGAGTACCCAACCATTCATATATATGTTATAAATCAATATTCACACCTATACTATAATGTACGGCTATTTCCATATGCATACATACCTATGAAGATACTTAACTCATAAATCAGGGAAAGTCAGGATTAGCACCTAATAACATAATGGAGTAAATGTGGCCGTGTTCTGTAAGACGAAAACTGAAACCTAAAACCCTGAGCCCCACGTCAACTACTCCTCCTCCATTTGTGCTATGTGGGACTCATGGTGTCCGAGGTCCAGTCCCTGGTGGCCGCCTCCGTGGCTCTGGCCCAAGGGGAGCAGAACAAGATGGCGGCAGGGCCTGGAGGAGGAGAGCAGCTCAGGACAGGGCACCAGGG